GTACTTACGGGCAACCCTCGACATCAGAGGAAGACGCCTGGCTCCATCACATTTCCAACAGAGAAGGGGGGTCTTCGTCTCCCTGAATAACAGGCTCGCGACAACAGGCAGTTATCTCTGCTCCTGCTCGCTCCTGTATGGTGCCTACAGGACCTGCCACCGCATCAGCTTTTCTGGGAAGGAGACTGCCCAGAGTCATCTTTTTTTGGGTGGTTCGGGTTATGCTTCTCCCTCCTTCACTCTGATGGCCACTGGACCTGCCACTGCTGCTGCTTGCAGAAGTTATTAAGTTGTGTGGGTTTTTTTTTGGGACCAACTCGCTTGATGCGTGACTTGCCATCTTTTCTTCTCTTTCTCACGTCCGAGCTGTCACGTGACGACGTCACATCCAAAAACTTTATCAAATGTCATCTCCTGAATCAACAGTTAAGAGAAACATTATAGCCTACTATTAATTTTAAATTGTAATAGTATTAAATTGAAAACTCAACCACACATAGGCTACGTAGGTGATGGACAAGCACTCATTATTTAGGCATTAAATAAATTATATTTAATAGTGTATTAGGCCCCTATAGGCCTATATGCGCAGCAGATTTTTTTAAATGACGGTAATGAAACTGATACCGTTGTTATTTTTAGATACTGTGGGATACCTTATTATCGTATTATCGCCCAACCCTACTGGGATGTGCTTGGCAATGTGATGGAGATGAGGCTGGTGTAGGACTGCGCTTGGGGTTTGAATCTCAGATTGGTTGTTTAGGGTCTCGTGGCACTCAATGAATGGTGGGAGAGAGATGACTAATTCGCCATCCAATGGCTCAATCTCAAATTAGGGCTGGGCGGTATGACAAAATTTTCATATCATGGTTTTTTTAAAAATCATATCGGTTTCACGGTATTTGATGGTATTTTGCTCGGGTTCGGCCCGCTTGACATGCTGCTGTGTTGTGCTATTGCCTACTCAAGTGCTGGAAATTGTTATTTGCGTGACAATGCCTGAACGCAAGCCCAGCTCCATTAGTGCCGTGCACAGTTATCGTGTCATCGTGTTCTTCTTCAGCAACGTGTACAGTTGCTTCACTTTCAGGACTCTCTCCGGCAGCCATTCTCGCCTCTAAACTTTTCTCTATGCTCTCACTCTAGCCAGCTCCAGTGTTGTGCTCTGGCCGACTGTAGCACGCCTGTGGTGTGCAGCGGTGAAATGGGTCCCCACTGAAACACTTTCCCGCCGCGCACGTTCCGGACGTTGTTTGGCTATAAACTTTAGCCAATATATTATATATTATATATTGGCTAAAGTTTATAGGTTATCAATATACAGTACAGGCCAAAAGTTTGGACACACCTTCTCATTCAATGCGTTTTCTTTATTTTCATGACTATTTACATTGTAGATTCTCACTCAAGGCATCAAAACTATGAATGAACACATGTGGAGTTATGTACTTAACAAAAAAAGGTGAAATAACTGAAAACATGTTTTATATTCTAGTTTCTTCAAAATAGCCACCCTTTGCTCTGATTACTGCTTTGCACACTCTTGGCATTCTCTCGATGAGCTTCAAGAGGTAGTCATCTGAAATGGTTTTCCAACAGTCTTGAAGGAGTTCCCAGAGGTGTTTAGCACTTGTTGGCCCCTTTGCCTTCACTCTGCGGTCCAGCTCACCCCAAACTATCTCGATTGGGTTCAGGTCAGGTGACTGTGGAGGCCAGGTCATCTGCCGCAGCACTCCATCACTCTCCTTCTTGGTCAAATAGCCCTTACACAGCCTGGAGGTGTGTTTGGGGTCATTGTCCTGTTGAAAAATAAATGATCGTCCAACTAAACGCAAACCGGATGGGATGGCATGTCGCTGCAGGATGCTGTGGTAGCCATGCTGGTTCAGTGTGCCTTCAATTTTGAATAAATCCCCAACAGTGTCACCAGCAAAACACCCCCACACCATCACACCTCCTCCTCCATGCTTCACAGTGGGAACCAGGCATGTGGAATCCATCCGTTCACCTTTTCTGCGTCTCACAAAGACACGGCGGTTGGAACCAAAGATCTCAAATTTGGACTCATCAGACCAAAGCACAGATTTCCACTGGTCTAATGTCCATTCCTTGTGTTTCTTGGCCCAAACAAATCTCTTCTGCTTGTTGCCTCTCCTTAGCAGTGGTTTCCTAGCAGCTATTTGACCATGAAGGCCTGATTGGCGCAGTCTCCTCTTAACAGTTGTTCTAGAGATGGGTCTGCTGCTAGAACTCTGTGTGGCATTCATCTGGTCTCTGATCTGAGCTGCTGTTAACTTGCGATTTCTGAGGCTGGTGACTCGGATGAACTTATCCTCAGAAGCAGAGGTGACTCTTGGTCTTCCTTTCCTGGGTCGGTCCTCATGTGTGCCAGTTTGGTTGTAGCGCTTGATGGTTTTTGCGACTCCACTTGGGGACACATTTAAAGTTTTTGCAATTTTCCGGACTGACTGACCTTCATTTCTTAAAGTAATGATGGCCACTGGTTTTTCTTTAGTTAGCTGATTGGTTCTTGCCATAATATGAATTTTAACAGTTGTCCAATAGGGCTGTTGGCTGTGTATTAACCTGACTTCTGCACAACACAACTGATGGTCCCAACCCCATTGATAAAGCAAGAAATTCCACTAATTAACCCTGATAAGGCACATCTGTGAAGTGGAAACCATTTCAGGTGACTACCTCTTGAAGCTCATGGAGAGAATGCCAAGAGTGTGCAAAGCAGTAATCAGAGCAAAGGGTGGCTATTTTGAAGAAACTAGAATATAAAACATGTTTTCAGTTATTTCACCTTTTTTTGTTAAGTACATAACTCCACATGTGTTCATTCATAGTTTTGATGCCTTGAGTGAGAATCTACAATGTAAATAGTCATGAAAATAAAGAAAACGCATTGAATGAGAAGGTGTGTCCAAACTTTTGGCCTGTACTGTATATGACCACCAACTGGTCATATATGAGACAGGAGACAGAGATTCCATGAGAGATTCTAATGAGTAGCAGCTTAGGTGTTTGTGCCACAAAGTTTTATTTCAACAACATACCCACCTTCAAGTGAAGCATGAGCTTCCTCTTGTTTTGCCTTTTTTTCCCCTCTTGCTCGCTCCTGACTCGTGATGTCTTTTGGACGACATGTCGACAACTCTTCACCTGCTGCAGCTCTGCAAGTGCCTGCCGGCGCACCTCTCTGATTGGTCAGATGTCGAGTGCTGTCAATCATTGCAGCAAGGCATGCGCGGTCAGATTACAGGTCTCTTCTCTCCTTCCTCGAGCTGATTCTACACGCGCCTCACGGTAGCGCATATGCGCAAATGCGTCCCCTCGCGCAAAATGTGGCCCCCCATGGAAGATGAGGCCCTACGCACAGCGCGTGTTCTGCGTTTAGGGAGGGGTGGCCCTGTACCCCATGCACACCGTTTGACCATTTTTAAACTCCAAATCTCCGAAAAAGCTCATAAAACCGAACAAAACTGACTTTCTGTAATGTATTTCAATGAACGGCCAGGCAGAGAATGTCTGAGTATATGGGAATGGCTATACACACTGTGACTGGCTCATCGCGTTTGAGGGCGGGGCTTAGCCATAGGTCAATTGTGGAATATCTTTAGTAGGTGGAGGCCTTGTTAGAAAGCTCTCATGTGAGTCTGAATGTAATGGGGCAGTGGCAGGTAAGGCTGATACCAGTGCACAGGGAGAAAGCTGCTTATGGTTGATTTGAGATTAGACATATTCACTGTTGCGTTCCAATTTAACCCTTGAAGATTCAGATTTTTCGTCTGCAACTACAGCATGTATTGCCTCAGAGTCTTTCAACACTTGTGCCTCCACCTTAGCCTCTTGGCTAGCATATGATGCTCTTACCTTGGCAGCTTCTGTTTTAGCCCGGGCATGGGCTGTGCTTGCCGATGATGCCGATGTCCTGCTGCTCCTAGCACTGGTGATGGACAGTGTTAGACGGACCTGTCAAAAGTTGAGAAGATTGTGACACAGCGAAAGATGGCGACTGTTGAGGGTGCGAAGTGTCCATCATTCCACTCTCAACGTTTGGACTGTTTTGAGTAGCTGGCAGTGCCGCTGCTGGCCATTTGGGTGCCCTCAGCCTAACTGCTTTGAAAAGTTTTACACATTCTGCATTTATGTTCCACAACAGAAGAACTATAGACGGGCATTTTTTCAGCAGTTGCAGGAGGCTCTAAAAAGGTATACATGTCTGCATTACCTGGTTGCAAGGTGATTAAAAAGGTTATTATATGACAGCTTCTTAGCAAGTCCTGCATTGATGCTGATGACAGCAAGACCACTTCGACATTCCTGTCCCATTGTTGAACGCAGGTATGTCTTAATGAGTTTAAGTTTAGAAAAACTGCCTGTGTTAATAACTGTAGCCTAATAAAACAGTGAGTTTGCTCTCCCACTGCGCTGTGTTCACTGAACCAATGGCAGCACAGCTCTAACTGCGTTGTGTCTGAGAGGGCCTTAACTGAGAGAGTTAATGCAATATGTATGATTATGATTGATGATGATCATATTGGGCTGTTTTGGTGCTCTTTCCAGCACTGGTGCTCCAAGCACAGTGTGTGATGTATGTGGCTGTAATGGTAGCGATGATAGCTAGATCATCTAGTTTCCATGTCAAGAATGAGGCTTCATGCTCAACTTGTGTAGTGTTTTGCTTTATTTTTACATCAAGCCTGTTTCAGGCTTTTGTAACTTGAGCTTGTAACTATTTCTTAATCCAAAATGTCTGTCTAAAATTAAAATGGCTTATATGTCTTAAGGCCAAAACACATCCACACTTAATGGTGCGCATCAAAACAGCCCGCATCAAAAGAGCTGCCCCTATTATTACCAGCGGTGGCTAGATGTGCATTGGTGCTCCTGGATGCCCCGGCCTGTGACGCTCCATCCCACTGTCCTGTTTCCAGCTTCACTTCCCCTGAATTAAACACATTTTTTCCCTACTTGCTCTCTGCTTGTAGGCTATATACCGGCTTCCAAGGCAGCTAGACTCCTCTCCTCACCACTGTTGCATAAGGAGGACTCTGTTGCTGTCTCTCGTGTGTCGAAGACTGGATGAGTTGGTGAGGTCAAGAAATATCCTGAGCTGTGTGACCATCAATCCCATCGTCATAAAGAAAAAGGGAAAACAAAACATAGCCTATTACCTGGCAAGCTCTGAGATTGTATATTTTGGTTAGAAATAAAGTTTAATTTGTGGCTGTCCACATATGATTTGAAGCTAATGCAGATGTGGAAGAAGCACCGATTTTTTAGAAAAAGTGGTAACAACTGTGTGTGGTCCTCCGTTGATGTGCTGCAGCGCGACGCGTCCTATTGGTGCTGGGGGATACACCTGACACGTGTTATATGACTTGCTGCGCCGCGGTGGTGCCAGTGTGTTTTCAGTGTAGTAAGACAAAACAGTCACGAGACAGAATATTGATATTTTTTGTTTCTGCAGATGTTATTTTGAACATGTACTGCCTGTGTTTTTAAATAGAATAACACTTTATACACAGTACAGCATTGTATTTCCACTGATTATTATTGTGCATATTTTAAATTGTTGGTGTTGGTGTTTGTTTTTGCCAAGAAAAACATTAAAGGTCCAGTGTGTACAATATAGGGGATATATTGGCAGTAATGGAAAATGATAAGTATGTTTTCTTTAGTGTACAATCACCTAAATAAGAACTGTTGTGTTTTCCTTAGCCTAGAATGAGCTGTTTATATGTACATGGGGAGCAGTTCTTCGTCTACAAAGATCACCATGTTGCTCCACTATGTTTCTACAGCAGCCCAGACAGGACAAGCCAAGCACTGGCTATAGATAGGGCCATGTGCGTATTAGTGTTTTTACTGGTTCAAATCACTGGGTCAGTTTGTTTTGGACAGGAAGACACCTCTGCGGATAATGTGGCTCCCGGTAAAAACCTTCTGAATGTCTGGATATTAAGTTATCAGAGACAAAAGGTAAACACAATTTTGCAGGCACTGGGCTAGCAGCCTGTCTGCCACATGTTGGACAGTGTAGGAGAACACTAATTTGTAACATGAAACTGTTTTATTCATTGTTTTTACTGTTTTTAATCAGTGGGTCTTTTTGTTTTGGAGAAGAAGCAACCTCCCTTAGTAATAACCTCCTGAACAATGAACACTGAAGGAATTCTAACCAGAGGGAGTTTCAGCTGGTTACAGTCTGCAGTCCTCACCACTAGATGCCAATTAATCCCCCTAAATCTGACACACTGGACCTTTTAAGAGAAAAATGTCCTACATGGCCAAACACTACAAGGCTCCTCCATGTTATGTTTTCTAATTCTTGACTCCCCTCTTCCAGGACAGAGCGGTGGAATTGACATTTCCACACCTGTTGACATAACAAGCGAAAGCATCAAAGGCAAAAGAAAGAGGCCTCCATAATTCATGTGGCCATTAGTACCTGCTGGGAAAGATGAGTACAGACAGACCCAAACGGAATATCATCAAAAAAAAATATGTAAGTGACATTTCCTTTCTCTCTATGGTTCATACACTGGCTTAAAAAAAGGACCCACTATACTGACTTCTTCAAGAGTTATATTTTTCATCATATTACGACAGTGGATGTAATCAGGATTTTATGACACTAATCAAAAGATTAGATTAAAGCTGCAAGCAGCGTTTGGCGGGACCTCGCACTCGTGCCTGTTTCGGCCCCCAGCTTATGTCGTCACTGTGAATTATTTAGAAATATCAAACATATTGCCACAAACATCAGAAAATCCTTACAGAGCTGAACGTTTTGATGTTTGAATGCTTTCTGTAGCTGTAGGTATGTAGAAGTGATGTCACAATATGCAAATTAGATGAGCGAATTTCTTCCCATCAGATTCCTCTTGCTTTATTTTGAGGATGAGATGACAAAAACAGCACAAAACAAAATAAATCTGCTGTGCAAATATGTTCAAAATGCTGTTTTACTGAGATTTATGAAATCCAATATGGCCGCCGCCTAGTGACACCACAATATGCAAATTAGATGAGTTAATTTACTCCCATCACAAACTTTGGGTCATGATGAATAGTTTTATCATTTACAGTATGCTTTTATCTCTCACCACTTTCAAGCGAAAGCCTTTTGAAATGTTGAAATGAATATTTTCCTCAAATAACT